TTTTCAATTTGTCTGACTCAAATGTAGTAGACGAAAGATTATTCAACAATTTTTTCGGAATTTGGGCAAAATGTTCATTAAAGGCATTTGCAATATCCTGTAAATTATCAAGATCTAAGCCGTTATATATTATATTGGAAGGAGACAAGTTTTTGTCTGATTTTGAGGCCAGCTGATTTAAGTGACCCCACATTTCCTTTGAAGTAGAACTATTTTCAATTACTTCCTTATAATATGTAGATTTTGCATTATTTATTAAAGATGTCACTTTGTTCCTCCAAAATCTAAAATTATCCATGTCTCCCTGTTTATGATATTGATCTCGTAAATTCCTAGCATTATTTATTTCTGGAGTTAACCATTTAGTGCGGAATTCAGATTTCACACGCTTAGTTTTTACTTTTGCATGCTTATTGATTACAGCATTGAAAATATCATAAAAACAGTTTAAAATGTCATTAGGGTCATGCAGTAGAATTAATTCATCAAAATTTGCATTGTTTAAATCAAGCAAAAAATCTGTTTCATTAAAATTTTTGAAGTCACGATATTGTATTTCAGTATGTTTGCCTTTGCGTTGCATGCTGTTAGATCTTCGTGTGGCACATATAGGATAATGATCAGACATCGCTACAGGGGGTACTGCTATTTCACATATGTTAGCAGGGTGCGTAGTGTAGAAATGGTCAATAAGAGTTTTAGAGCTATTAGTAATTCTTGTTGGGGTGTTAATTAATTGTGTTAGTCCAAAATCTACAATTGCAGAAGACCAACTCCGCGGGGGTTCTTTGAGCATATCAATATTGAGATCACCTGCAATAATGAGAAATTGTATTTACTGACATGGTCATTTTATTGACCATAGAACTTACATATACGAAAAATGACTTTAAACGAGACTGCTGATACTCTTGATTCGTCAACTTTTTTTGTAGGTAATTTACCTTGTTGGATTTGCAGACAAGGGTAAATTCAATGATATTCATTTTAAGGTTATTTTTTTCTGAAACCCCTCTTTCAATTTTTGTAAACAACATTTCGAAGTTTTATAGTTATGTAATGCAACAGCAAGCACAAGTTGTAGGAAAGGGAATGTTTTACAAGGAGAAAGTAATGTGAATATATGCAATTGCATATATACTTCATATTTCCTAATAGAGTGCCCTCCGGGAATATTTGGAATGAATTGCAGCCAGAAATGTCCAAGTAGCACGTATGGGCAATTTTGTGCAAAATTGTGTCAATGCCCCCCTGACCGATGCGACAAAAGACACGGTTGTGAAGGTACTCACATTTACACTTTTAACAATTTTTTTATATGTGCTCTTAGTGGGACCTTATGATAAGATATCGTAAAAAGAATAAAAAATAGCTCATAAAGATATTATCTTATGTTTTATTTATAAGCAAATACAAATAGAACTACATTTGTACTCAGAAAATAATCATATTGGAATATTTTGCAGACATAGTTCTGGAGAAGGAAGAAAACTCAGGGCTGTGTGTTTCGTATGTATTGACTTAGATGTTCAATTGTTTTTAAATTGAAACTGTTGTTTTAACTAAAACAATGAACAAAGTGTGACAAAACACTTATACAAAAATGGCATACAAATAAGATTTGGTTAATAAAAATACTGCTTAAAATTCAACATGATAAACATTTCCATTGAAGTTTGTGTCCGTGTTGTTATACCACCAAATTGCTTTGAAAAAAACACTGCAATAAATATTATTCATAATAAAAAAGAGGAAATAAATTACATGTTTTAATTATATATTAATAATGAAATAGTAATATAAAGTGTATTATAGAAATATGTAGAAATAATTGGGTTTACTTAGAATTTATCCCACATCTTAAAACAAACCTTTACTTATATAGTCGAATATTAATTTTCTCTTGTAGGAAAGATGGTGAGCTTGAGTGCTGCTTGAGCTTTTACAAGACAAATAACACATGCGCAGGTAGTTGTCAATAAAATCCAAGTATAAATAATTTAAATTTTATCTATTTGTTATGATTGCATTGAAAAAGTGTTCTTAGAAATTCCTCCCTGTTTTGCAACCAAAACATTCTGTATTTTATTTTCTTTAGCCTGTCCAGCTGGGACGTATAACAATAACTGCTCCGATCCGTGTCCGCCCGGATACTATGGTGAATTATGTTCTAAAGTATGTGACTGTTCAGAGGCTTCATGTGATAAAGTACATGGGTGTTCTCAAAAAGGTACAAATAGTTTTCGCTTTAGAATAATTTACAAATACAAAATGTAGGAAAATAAATATATTTTGTTTTCTAAAGTCTGCCCAGCTGGGACGTATAACAATAACTGCTCTGATCCGTGTCCGCCTGGATACTATGGAGAATTATGTTCTAAAGTATGTGACTGTCCAGAAGATTCGTGTGATAAAGTACATGGGTGCTCACAACAAGGTACAAGTAGTTTTCACTTGCGATTAATTTACAAATACAATATTTAGAAAAAAACCCAAGCAGATACAATGTTGATATGAGCATTTGATTTACTGCATTAATATTTGTGAAACTCCTATTTTTATAGAAATAATTAAATCAGTTACAGATAAATTAATATATCGAAACGTCATGTTTATAAAAAGATATGAAGTGAAATTATATTTCTTTGATTGTTTTAGTCTCCGGGACAGAGGTTCCGTTGAATATGATCATCTTTGCTGGAAGTATCACCCTTGTGTTCCTCTTAATAATGACAATACTTTTCATAAAGTTTGCTAAACTTCAACGTCTCAGAAGACACGCACCTCTTTCCAACGATTTGACAGATGTGGCAGTTTATTCAGAAGTGAAGGGTTAGATCTGAGGTGTGAACAGACAAAAACAATTTATTGTAATCATTTTCTGAATAATTCTGTGATATAGTGTAACAAGTAGTTTGATTATGTTTTATACAGATGTACATATATGTCACCATTGAACAAAGAGAAATCAAAAGTGAAATAAAACAAAATGCGAGGAGACGTTTTAAACTAAAAAAGCTAAACACTTTTTTCATGTTCCTGCATGTTGCACCCTCAAGATGAAGCTCTGTTTATCAAACACGTTAAAGACCTTACGTGCATCTACAACTTTCTATCGATTCTTAGGGAAAAAAGTAAAACTGCTGTGCATGAGAAACGTCAGACGTGTATACATGTATTGTGTGATAGCATCTTCAAGACGTGTTGAGATTTAAATATGGATTCTAAAAGACTCCAAAACACTTCTTAAAATGATATACATGTATATAAAAAATATTTTCCAACATTAGTAACATCAAAACATATTTTTTATACAACCATTTCTCACTATCCATGGCATTATCAATTAAGATGCAGACTCTTTGATATTTTAAACAATTGCCTTCCAATACAATAAGAACTCTTTTTTATGAAATAACAAAAAAAAAAAGCAAAAATGCAAGACACATTTTTACGTACTATGTTTTATATCAACCGTGATGCTTTTGTTGACATATTAATCATATATATATAGTATATAAGATTTGACAGGGGAGTGTTCCGTCTACTTGTTAATACACGTGACTCACGGCAATCAACAGGGGATGCTAACTTCTGATTGGCTCCTGATACAGCCTCTGGCATTTCATGAGGTCCCTGTTTATGCCCTGTTTACAGTTTTGTATTATTGATTTCTTAAATCGATCAATAATCGCAAAAATCGATATCTTCACCCTTTTCATTTTTTCTTCTTATTTCCCAATGTTTGTTTAGCAGATAAATTAAATGCACGCTTATCATGAGCATATTTGCTCTTGCTCTTACAAAGCTGCAAATGTGCTTCGGGTTCTTATGAACTGAATTGTTCATCGGTTTCAATATATAAGAGAACATAATGCAAAAATAATGCAAAAAGTAAAAGTTTTCAATCGTCAGATTGTCGTGTTAATGATTTTTGAATTTATAAGAGAGAAAAAAACCTTGTCTTTGTATATTAATTGTTCTTTAAAGACCAAGAGAGACCTTCCTGAAAGGGAATGTGAATTGTTTTCTGTATGAAGTCAGGTGGTATTGTTTCATACAATCTACTTACTTTTAAGTGACAAATGGGAGTGGGAGTGACAAATTGGAGTGTCTTCTAATGAGTACTTGACTAACTGTACTCACCTTTATTTTGCTTTGATCAACAAGTCTTCATCTCGCAGTTTATATTTCAAAACAATAGAAATAAAAAAAAACAATAGGGATAAGAGAAAAGTCCCTGATAATCATGCAGAATTTCCGTTCTTCTGTCATTGGAAATGCTATATGACGGTATAATCGATATCCGACTTTTGACGAAGAGGGAAATCATATTGAACATCATGCCACAGAACTAAATTTATTACCAGACATTGCACAGGCAGTTTTTGAACAAATACTGATAGATAAAATATGACTATAACAAACAACACTTAAACTCAAAAGTCCATTGAAGTCATACACACAGGGAGCAAAGCTAACAACAAAGGTGCCAAACAAGGGTAAATTACCCATTTCAACCGCTTAAACCTACCGTGTTCTTCTTGACCTGCAAAGGAAAACGGAGAAATATTAACTGATATGAAAAAAGCAATACATTTTTTTCGGATTTAAGAAATCAAAACTATGATTATGTCCTTTTTTTAATTTAAAGAAGGGCCAAAGGGTTAATTGCCTATGTCACCTTGACTTTAATTTTTTCAGAGTTATGCATAATTATGTATTTTTAATTGTCTTCAAAAGGTTCAAATATTGAAAGGTAGCTTAAAAATCATTTTAAAAAGTTAAATCTTTTCGAAATTGTAGGAAAAAAATTCAGTCATTAAATACATTTTTATCAATATAACATTCATGCTATAATGTTTTTATGCCAGTCTGTATTAGATTTCATATAACTTTCCTGTATTTTTTAATGTATTCCTGAATGTTTACATCCGTCTCCAAAAAGAGTTTTTTTAAATGATAGTGAGAAGTTTCCTGCTTATTTCTATGTATGAAAAATGAAAAATATCATAAAATGGGTTTACTGTTTTCTGTTGAACGATAAATACTTGACCTTAAGTACGAATGAAAGCAGTGGAACAACAAGCTGTCCTGTAAATTACTTTTTGGGCGTTCACAAAAATTGCACTGGTAAGATTTATGTAGTCTATTCTGTTTTCTTTCTTTTAGCCACATTTTAATTAATCATCTTTTTCGAAGAAAAAAGTAAAAAAAAAAATCTTTTAATGTTTATTTGCAAGAAAAGTACGTCTTTTCTAAATAAATGAAGAATATTTTGAATAGAGATGAAATAAAATATTTGTACTTAGAGTGTCCTGCAGGGAGCTTTGGCCACAATTGTAGCGCCCCATGTCCACCTGAATCGTATGGTCGACTGTGTGCAGAGGATTGTAGTGAATGTCCCGCAGATGAGTGCGATAAGGTCACAGGATGTCAAGGTATACGATACGTTATATTGAGAGAGAGAGAGAGAGAGAGAGTGTTTGTTTCAAAATTATATATCTGAATATTATAAAGGAATGGTTTACTATCAATATTTATATATAAATTGCTTAAATACTTTACAGTACATTATGTAATGAAGGATATGAGTCCATAAAACAATACAAAATAGGAGCAGAGCAAACACGGACCTTCAAAACATCAGAGATGGGATCATTGCCATGGAGGAATGAGCATTTTACTCGCAATCATTCCTTTATGACCGTAATAGAAAATTAATAAAGAATTACCAAAACTTCTGAACAACTTTTACTAAGGCTTTTAATATTTTACATGTTTCCCCCAGAAATCATTTTTCTAATCTTTTGACCCAGACCGTGGAGTTTAACCCACATTTAAATATTTTAACTTAGGCATAGTTTGTCATAGGTTAGTGTTTGGACTTTAATATTTCACAGGTAGAAGTTTTGTGACAAGTCTTTTCTTTGGGTAAAACGTTTTCATTCTTGTTCTTCAAGTTTGAATTGGATTTGAGAAAATTATATATTTGTTAAAAGCTGCCATACGGGGACTTCAGTTTTCACAGAGCTAGAGAATACATTTTTTAAACAGAAGACAATTATTGCTTTCCATATATATTAAAAATGTAACAGAGGATATCCTTTTAAAACAGAAGGAAATTATTTCTGCTATTTAAAGACTAAACAAAATATACTAGTTACTTTTTAATAAATTTATATAAAAACAATATTGATTAAAGGTAGATAAGGAAATAAATAAAATTATAAAAAGTACAAGAAAAGTATCTCTAGGATATTTGACACTCAAGTTAAAACAAAGCAGGTTAAAATTGAGAGGTAGTGAAATCGAGAAAAGAAAAAGGAAAACATTAAATGTAAAAGATACTAGCCAGTATAATACCTAGCATTCATAATCATTTTATTTATTGATGATAAGTTGCTTACAATTACGGTAAAAATAAATTGTCATTCAATGTCTCAGAGGGACTGTTACACATGGAAAGTAAATATCATTAAAGATATACTTTATATAGAATATGTTCTTAAAGAGGCAAGCTATTGGAAAACAAATTGATGAAAAAAGGATATCAACTGCCTTGATTGAAGTCATCATCCCTAAGGCTCTATGGTAAATACAATGATCTGGCCGGCAAAGTAAAATATGCCATAATTTGTAATGTCACCTAAACTTTTTTAAGAAGAATTAAAAAAAAATAATTAAGCGGTTTGACCTCTTTTAGAGACAAGTCCAGCCCATTGCAATTATTTACGTAAACTTGAATCTCTACTACCTCTTGATATTTACATTTTATTTTTACTAATTATAGAATTTTTTGTTCTTGTGGGGAGAATTTCTTCCTTTGTTAAAAAACTCATAGCTTGACCCGAGCTACAAATGTATATATCCACTCGATATAATTTAAATTATTTTGAATACATTCACATAGAATTAAAAACTCTTTTAAACAACTTTGTCTTTTGTGGCTAAGTGGTTCTTTAAAGATCCCAGATGTAAAAATTACTGACTTTATCAGGTATATCATGATAGAATAAAATATAAACGAATGTGTGATATTTTGGTACATCGTGAGGCATTAAAGTATTACACATTAACTTAAAATTAAATTTTGTCTATATTGATAAATTACATTTTAGTCACAAGTACAGTCATTGATGGACAACATGCAACTACTGCCTCTATTCAAACTGAAACAAATGGGACAAATGATTTAATAGAATCAACCTCAGATCGAGCCCCCGTTTCGGATTCTTCAGGAAGCTCCGATAAAGGAACGGTTTCCGAGTTAATCATTATCAATGGTAGTGTCATCATTTTCTTCCTCGTGATACTCATTATTGTCATGTCTGTCAGAAAGATCTTTGAGTTCAGGTACTGGAAGAGATGTGTCGCAGCGAGGAACACTCAAACTGCCATAGATGAAACAGTATATGCGGAAGTTTATGAATTGACTGAAATAAAAAATGGAGGAATCAAAAAATGACATGAGAAAAGACATACACGGAGAAAGTATTATTTACCGGGAAAAAAAGCATATAATATTATTTATGGCAAAAGATAAAATATAAAAGGAAAATACAATATTGAACACCAACACCATTGTCTTATCACGTTGTCATAAATAAACTTTTTATGTTTCGAAAATAATTTTATTATGTTTTATTTGAATTTTGAAATGTGATTTCCATTATTTAAGGATATGCGTAATAATTCGAAGTTTAGGTGAAATAGTGTACCGTTGAATCTACCTTAATAAGTTCTATCACTTTGCTTGTTGATGTTGCACTTGGAAAAAGGCGTACTGGCAAATTATCTAAACGTACAGTTGATGAATAATGGTTACAAAACAGAAGAGGAGCGAGACTTTTTGAGTTTTAATGACAATGTGTGCATACTAGTATTTCTGATAATCACTACTGGTTGAAATCAATAGAATAACACAAACATCCCAAACTACACCTAATATCTGAATTGTTATCATTGTCACAAGGTTAAAAAAATTCATATCATTAATCTCTCTTGAAATAACTGCTTTCTTTACATTTTGTGGAAATTCTATATCAATTTTAATTTAAGAGTTGAAAAGTGGGATTTGTATCTCTCTGTAACATCCCTTCCTGGTACAACAAAAAAAAAACACACATAAAAAACCATTAATCAAGAATTCACAAATCTTTTTTCCCCAATTATTTTCCAAGACTTATATATATGTATAGATAAATATGTAATCAGTTTTGGTGAGTGTGTGACAATATCTCTACATATTTAACTGTGAGAAGATTATTGTATTTTTATTTAAAGCTCTAGTGAGGAAAACAAGAAACATTTAATTGGAGTCAGTAAGAATATCTAATGTTAATTTTAAATTTCTGTTGAAGTTGCTCTTATCATTTCTTAAGAGTTGAAGGATTAATTTCATTTCTTTCTTGAATTCATTCAAGAATATTGAAGTAGTAATAATTTTATTTTCATACTTGATGCTGTTTCTTGTTTTCCGTATTGACCACTTGTAAATATAAATCTAGGTGTTAATACAGATTGGAACATTTTTGGGTTCTCCAGCGAATCCCAATAAAACAAAACATGCATACATCAACTTTGATTGGATTCACAACAGGGATTTTTAATATTATATTTTGCACCACTTCTAAAAGTGGTTTGACATGTTTTCATCATAAAAAAGATGTTTCTGACTCTCAATATTTGATTTACAGAAAAAGAATTTACCATTTGATAAACCCATTTTACTTAATTTTTCTTCAGTGTATAAGATATTTTGCCAACATTTCTATTGAAATTCTGGAATCTTTTGTTTTAACCTTACTTCATAAATTGAGCCCCAAATTCTTTTCCATGTGCTTTCAATTTGCATCAATTTCTCCCATTTTGCTTGAGATTTTGGAGTTTTTTTTTTTGTTTGATACTTTTTGTATATCTTTGAATTTTATATCTTCAAAATTTATGAGCTTGTTTGTTTTTCTTACAAATAAAATATTATCATACAGTGCATAATAATTATGTATTTCATTATCTTTTATTTTAACAGTATTTACTCCCTTCAAGAATGTCAAGATATGATTTAGGTATAGCGGCTTTTATTTTACTGTATTCAAAAATCCAACTCCTTTTATCAAGAAGTTTTGAAAATATGTAAGCATTAGTCTTAAAAGTCTTAGTATCTATATCCCAAATATCTCCAATTGTTTTTAAACCACATTTAATAAAAGACATTTTATATAGGCTTTTACCACGAAATTGTATAAATTTATTCCAAAAAATCTGACATTTCAAAATGTCATCTTTGCTTTTTGGTTGAAAGTGTGATCTAAATTCTGGCTAAGCCAGAATTCGCAAATCTAATAGCATTAGTCTTGCTCTTTTTTCAACCTAGATACCCAGGGGCCAAATGGGAGATTTTGAAAGACATGTTGCTTTTTGGTTTTCACTTTCACATTGGTCATTTGCCAACATTATTTAAAATTTAGTTAAAAATCATTCTAATACACAGAAGTATTCAGAATCGATATCAAAAAGATGTTTGTGTTTCTTATTGACAATACTTATGTGGTTTTTTGAGATCACGTCTTCCAACAATCTATTGGAATTCTCATGGGTACCAATTGCAAGACCTAGATGTGTCAGACTCTGTGGTATCTTTTATCTCAAGCTTTCCAGGATTTATCGCATCAACGTAGGAATGGTAATTACCAATATTAATTGACAATACGTCGTCGATATATCTTAATCTCGAGTTGAAGGCCACATCAACTGTTTTTTTTTACTTTTTGCGCATTAGATTTTGCACAATTTCTGCTTCATATGAATACAAAAATAAAAAGGCTTGGTTTAACATTTACTTGAACCTTGCTATATGTTTTATGTTTATAGAGAGTTTTATGAAGTTTCTGAATCAATTAAAGATATGATTACAATATATATTTCGATTGTTTGGACTATAAGATTTAAAACTGACATATGATGTTGAAGAATACCTGCCTTAAAAAGAGAACTGTGAGTATAAGTTTGATTATTACTTGTAGAATCAAATCCAGGTTCTTCTACACTACAATTTATATTATGATCCTTACAAATGAAGACAATTAAAGGTTTTTTTTTATCCTCCTAGAACTTAATTTCAAATAATCAAATTATTTTATTACTATTATTTTTTAAAGTAAATTAATAATTGATAATATGACTCTATGACTCTATTAAATATGCATAAACAGTTTAATCACATTAATTCAATACTATAGTACGTTCTAAAATATTTTCTGTGTAACTTTTACTTTTCTTTAAAGAAAATAGCTTTCTTCTTTTGAAAGAATTAAAAGTAGAATGATTTAAAAATTATCAATGTTCATGTATAAATAAAACGTTTTTATTTCAATAAGTCATACCATAAAGAATACGTATGCTTCGTGACAATACACGAAGAAATACATTCTAAGAGGAATGGCCGAAGTTATTATACTTTTGACAACAAAGAATACGTGTAACTTGTAGCCTTATTCCTATTATTTTTAGTAAAACAATTTAGGGCTAGAATTGTATTTAAATGAAACTGTAGCCATGCGGTGAGTATTTGACTTAATTTTTTTGCATTATAAACCAAGGTAAAGGAAAAAAAAACCCACCTTTTTTAAAATTCTCTTCTGGATTGTAATACGGAATTTTATTTAAGAAATGTATGTCTTTCAAACATCATGACATAAACACAACAATTTTATTCAGTTGTGCTAACATATATGCATATATATATATTTGTATTTCTGAATATATTCATAAAATCTACATCCGCCTTTATGGAGAGTTATGTCAAACAAAAAAAAAGATGTTTCCTGTTGGATTCTATGTAGGAAAAATGAAAACACATATCATAAAATGGATTTGTTGTTTTCTGTTAAACGATAAATATTTGACGTTAACAGACACAGTCAATGAGGCAAAGGGTTGTCCTGTAAATTACTTTTTCGACGTGGACAAGAAAAATTGTACAGGTAATAATTATTACATCTCGTGGTTTGTTTAATCTTTGACGAAAACAGTAAGAAAACATTTGATTTTTTCTTCTCATTTTTTGCAAAGAAAGGTCATCTTTCAAAGTAACTGTAGAATATCGCATAATGATTTTATAAAGAATGTTTCTACCTAGAGTGTCCTCCAGGGAGCTTTGGCCAAAATTGTAGCGCCCCGTGTCCACCTAAATCGTATGGTCGACTGTGTGCAGAGGATTGTAGTGAATGCCCCCAAGATGAGTGCGATAAGGTCACAGGATGTCAAGGTATGAGAGAGAGAGAGAGAGAGAGAGAGAGAGAAAGAGAGAGAGAGAGAGAGAGAGAGAGAGATGTAAGTTGCTTTTATTTTGAAATACAGACTTTGCTGTATGTAACAAGCAATCATTGACTGATGGGTTTTATTCAATTTTCTTTCGGCAATATTTTTCCATTTCTCCAAATAGGATGTTTACTTTTCATGAATTGTACAGACATACTTCATATATTATTTTTAGTTGAATATTATACAACATATATCCGACAGTTTTTGTTTAAAATGTCAATTGAATAAGAGGGTGTCAAAATAAAAGGGTCAAAACATATTGACTAGACGGGTTTCACACTCGAAATAAAAGGAAGTATGAACACACTTTTAATAATATTATTAAATAATGGAAACATTCCCTTCAAAGAAATACAAAAAGGAAGATATCCAATAGTTTTGACAATGTTAAACAATATTTAATTCATAAAATTTGATATAACTTACAAATTGTAATTATTTTTTTAAAGAAAATGCTTTCAATGAATCAGGGAAATCGAATGCACTTTAGGAATTTGAAAATTCTAAAGAAAATATGAATTTATTCGTCCTGAGATAATATCACCTTAAATATCCTTTTAAAAGTAACGCTACATAAATAATAACAAACATATACGTTATAAAATGATGTAAAGATGCTGGGAAATCAAAAAAAAGTAAAGATAAAGGATGGGTCCATGACTTTATACTTTTGACAGGAAATATATTTCCAGTAGAAAGTTTTTACACTTGGATACTCAGGCATCATAATATACCCAAAATAATTTTGAGCTGTTCTAAAAATAGAAGCAAACAGATAATAGATTTTCATCAAAACCCCATCCCCAGGAAAACAAATATACAAAACAAAAAAGACAAGCAAAAGAAAAAATAACAAATTAACCACAAAAACAGATGTGGGAATCAAATTAACCATTTCTAACTGCTAATCAACATGCTTAAACAATGGTGTGTGAATTCAAAATTTCGAAATCAAAAAAAAAAATATCCCGAAACCCATCACCTTTGATTGGAGAATAGTTGTCTACGTTTATATCGATTTTGCTATATTGTATTTTGGTCTGTTTTTGGTGTATGTATATATTTATTTTTCAGGGACATCTACAAAACCTGAATTTTACCGATCGTCTACAACAATATCATCAGCAGTAACATCAGTGTTTGAGATATCATCATCAATACTACCAACATCCTTGTCGACAGACAGATTAACCACAATTTTAAAGAGTAAACCATCACAACCATCAACTGTAGAAACAAAGGACGAGCCTAGCATTTTAACTATAATTCTGATAGTGGTGGGTTTTGCTGCTCTTATCATAATAATATTGATTGCTATTCTTTTTATTGTTGTGAGACGACTATGGGTTCTACATACCAAAAGAACATATCATAGAACCGAAAATGAATCAAAACACTTAAAGGAAGGAAACGAATCGGGGGAATATCAGGAAATTGAAATAGATAGAAATCTGGTTATCCAAAGCGAAGTATCAGGACACCGCTATAACACAATAATGCAGGAAATGGATCAACCTATTGGTACCAAGTATGAAGAGCCTCGATCCAAAATAAATCAGGAAATGAAAACACTGTATTCTCATTACAGGGAAATAGACGAAGAAAACTCTTCCTCGACAGGGAATAATGGTGGATATATAGAGCCAGAATCAAGTGGGCAAATACATGCCTATCTTGAAGTTATAGAACCTATAGTACATAGTTCTGATTCAGCTTATAGCTACAATGATGGCGTTAGCTTAAAATGTCATAGGTCCGACCAAAATTCTGATCATATCGAAGAAAACGATGATAACTATTTGAGTGCATCCAATGCTATTGAAATACATGAAGCAAAAGACAATGATTATTTAGACGTTGTCCACAATAAGTGACTAGTAGTAATACGAATATGCTATATAACAAGCAAAAATGCATATTGTTAAAAGTTTTTTCTCTCTACTAGAAGTAATGATAGTATAGCCCTCAGGGCTTAACGGCTTTCTGCGATGGATGAAACGGCTTATTTCCATATACATTAAAAGATTATGTAATAGGTATCTCTCGATATCCTCATATAAATTAAAAGCATATATAATATGGGTATCTCTCGATATCCTCATATAACTATTTTTTAAAGTTTTCAAATATCACATAATACAAATAGTAATAATATTCTTTTTATTTATTCTGGGCATTATTTTTCTCAAATAAATATTTCAGCACCATATCCATTTTAACTTTTTTTGTTTAAATGTATATAAAACATTTTTAATAAAGATTATATTATCAAAAAACTTGATCCGAAGGTTTGTATCAAGTTGTATTAAATTGACAGGCGCGGATTATAAGATCAAACGAGACGCAAAACGTCGAGTTTGATCTGATGATCTGCACCCGTCAACGATATGTGATGTGACTCTTCGAATCAACACACTGTAATAATGATTCATTTATTATAGCAGTAACTTGAACTGAAGAGCCGTATCACGTCTTGTTGACAGGCGCATATCACCAGATCAAACTCGACGCTTTGCGTCTCCTTTGATCTGATGATCCGCGCCTGTCAACTCGACGTGATATAACCATTCGAATCAAGTTAATGTTATAGCAAAATATAGTAAACAAAAACTGGAGAGTTCAATTTCATTCTTATGTCGAAACGATATATCCCGGTGAGTTTGAGATAACCACAGAGCCTGATAAATTTGTTTAATATTTGGATATTTTACTTGAAAAAGACGTTAATGGTCACTGCATGGTAATCTAACAACCAAGTTCTAATATGTATTTCAATTAATGTAATACACAAAATCATGCTGTACGTATGAACAATCTCTGAAACGAGGTAAATTATTGAAGCTGATGAAAAAAGAATTCCAGCAGTCTCGTTTAAAGTCATAATTTCGTAAGCACTGTGTAACATTAACAGCAAAGACAATTTTTCAGAGTCAAATGCTGACTGACGTTTTTCATACTAATTGTTAGTCCATTATTTATGCACTGAATTGACAACGGATTCTTTCCGTTATTTCCCAATCATGACAGGGAGCATACGGCGGGTGTGACAGGTTGGCAGGGGATGCTCATTCCGCTATGGCATCTGATCCCATCTCTGATGTTTTGGAGGTCCGTGTTTGCTCTGCTCCTATTTTGTCTTGTTTTATGGACTTTTGATCTTCAATACTCTTCGTTATCTCCATATGTTTCATATATCATCTCGTCACTTTACATAATACTCTGATATTATATCAAAGCATTTATAGTGGAAAAGGATTGCCCGCGAGAAAGTTTTAAAAAGTTCATTAATTAAGCAGTAGGCAATTAACAAAGATTGCATTGAAGTCTATGGGAAAAGGCGTTTTTTTTTTCTCAAAATAAAAATTTTAATAATTTGAATATCAATAAATCCTGCGGTGGAAAGATGCATTGAACATTAAAAATAGAATGACAATTAAAAACAGTTTTTTACCGACTATTTTTTTTTAAAATTGATTTTTTTATTAATTAAAAAGGGGAGATAACTCTAACTAAAATTCAAGGTCATAAATTAGGACACATCCCACTATACATACTAGTAATAAATGGGAATCATGTCTAAATAAACCGAGTATTCAGTGCCTTCTGTTATGTTATGTATTCAATTTTATTGAATTTGTTCCTATTAGGGATGGAATCATGTCTAAATAAACCGAGTATTCAGTGCCTTCTGTTATGTTATGTATTCAATTTCATTGAATTTGTTCCTATTAGGGATTGAATACCTTAAGGCTAGGAGGAAGGATATGGAGATAACGAACAGTTCAATCGCAAAGTCCATTAAACAATATACAAAACAATAGCAGAGCAAACACGGACCTCCGAAACATCAGAGGTGGGATCAGGTGCCATGGAGGAGTTAGCATCCCCTGCCGACCGGTCACACCCGCCGTGTGCTCCTTGTCATGATCAGGAAATAACGGAAAAATCCGTCGTCAATTCAGTGTATAAATAATGGACTAACAATTGGTATGAAAAACGTCAGTCAGCATTTGACGCAATGATAAATTGTATTTGCTGACAAGGCCATTGTATCGACCATAAAACTTACGAAATGATGACTTTACACGTGTCTGTTGATATTCTTGTTTCATCAACTTGCTTGTCAATAATTTACCTCGTTTAAGAAATTGTTCATACGTAGAGCATGCTCTTGCGCATCGAATCAACTGAGATATATACACTCCGTATGAAGGTGATGAAGGTATATTGCTGCATGAGTAAGGGAAGTTGACGATATAAAAGTTAAAGTCATCACGTTTATCATATACCTTGGTTGTTAGATTACCATTAGTGTCTTTTTCAAGTAAAATATCCAAGTATGAAGCAGAAGTGTCGGACTCTGTGGTATCTTTTATCTCAAGCTCACCGGAATATATAGTATTGACGTAGGAATGCAAATTATCAGTATTAACTGACAATACGTCGTCGATATATCTAAATGTCGAGTTGAAGGCCAATAAGAATTACTTGAATACCTTGATTTATTGATTTTATTTCTGTATTTTAATATATGAGAAATTATTAATTTAAAGAAAAGCTAAAATGTAATTTACATGTACACGATGAAAACTTATTGGCTATATTATTGCGAGATTCTCGTTTTTTTTTGTTTTTTTTTTTGAATTTGGGAATTTTTCCAGCCTTATAGATTGTACGATAAGACACAGAACTATTCATCATTATCATCATTTAAAATGTTCAAATGACTAAACACATATTATAAATAATATAAAACATCATTTTCATATCCGGCTTCCCATCCAAAAGCTTACTTAAAATGCATTTTCCGGATTAAGGATATTTTTATTTCAGATATTTGCATATACATGCTTTATTCCTTCCTTAAATCTAGATACAAGTATGCAACCGGCAGCAGGGGTCTGTGTAAAGTAAGACTTTTTTCCTTTATACCAAAACACCGTTTTTTTTTCAAATAGTTTGATGCCTAATTAATCATATTTTTTCTCCATAATTATAATTAAAATTAATTTCAGACCTGGTGGTGTATCCGAATGTTGTTTAGGTTTTCATTTAGTTAACGGTAGTTGCCAGAGTAAGTATCAAGAACTTAGATAGACAAAAGCAAAGTGGATCAAGTTATTTTTTCTTCAAATAATCACATTTAACAGTTTTTGATCTTGAATTAAGAAGCAAGTTAATGTTCTTCCATAAGTAATTAGCCTTTGTTTCTTAATTGATAAAGTTCAGATTCTTTTTAAATAATCTCTATTAATGAAACTTTATTTTCCCCATATCTAACAGAGTGTCCAGACGGTACATTTGGTGCCGAATGTAAGGAATCATGCCCAGAGGGGCGGTTTGGAGCACAGTGTGCAGAGGAATGCACTTGTCCACCAGATGTATGTAAGAAGCACAATGGCTGTCCCAAAACTGGTAATTAAATCGTTAAGATAATATAAATTCTTTATAGATTTTTGTTTAATTTAGCAATGCTAGTTAATTAACAATGATTATCAAATATTTATATACATGAATATCGTTATTGTAGAACTTGTGGTTTCTGAAGTAGTCACTACAGAAGCACCTAATACATCTTTATCGCCCTCTTACTTTACGTCCTCGACACAAGCATATTCCGCTTCACAGTCCTCAATTTCCACATCAATAGATGTATCAACAGTACCTAGTAGTACTTTGATTGCAAGAAGTACCAACAACTTATCTGTACAATCATCTTTACCCCAGCTCATAACTCCTACTCAAGGAATTGCTTATAGCAGCGACGTAAAGTTAGTGATAGGAATGGGAGCGGGAATGGGGCTGCTTCTGGTTGTTATCCTTGTGTTGGTGGCACAAAGATGTCTGAGTAAGAAAATGAAGCAATACGACTCAACTAAGCACGTCAAATACAAACCATCTGAGGAAAGAAGTTTATCTGTAGTATATCAAGAAATTAATTACGATTTGATGGAAGAGACAGCAATTGTGAGAAAATCAAGCAAAGAATACAAACAATATCAAGTGATTGAGAAAGAAAGCACCACAGGTTCCAAATATGAAGGAATTCAACCATGTGGGTTACATGCTAAAGTCAACTCGTCAACATACCTCGACGTTGAGCCACCTGATATCCAATCACCCATTGAAGCTCAAAGAGAACCCTTATCTACAGAAAAGAAATATTCCTATGTAGAAGTAGTCGAACCATTAGTCCATAGTGACATCATATCCTCTGCTACAGAATACAAGAATGAAACCCCCGCATTGTATGATGAGCCTGATTTAACTGAGTGTGGTAGTACCACGGCCCTATGTCTTTACAGCGATACTGGAAATGTTGAAATTGCAATTAAGACATGCACAGAAAAATCTGAAGACAGGATAGACCCTGCTTATCTTGATGTAATCAACATTTAAAAATGTCACATTTTCTTTTTTCACTGAGTTTTACTTCTTAGTTGGTTTGCAATACGTCTAAAGCAATTTGGAAATTTAGAAGTGTGTGCAAAAAACTAGCTTCAGTGAACTTGTAAAATTAGTTAAATTACACTGGAGAACATAAATTTGGTTAAGGTAAAAGATATAACACGATTATAAAACAATTTTAAGACAACTATCGTTCTTATTCAAATTCTTTGCACTTTTCTCGCCCTCCATTCAAAATTATATTGTCACTTGGTTTACCATATCGAAAAAAGTATATATTTAAATCATTCATTCATATGTTTTGATCTTCTTGCATGCATACACTTGACTTTTGTTAAAAGAGGATCTCTTTTCCGTAGTGCAAGTTTGAAGGTCATTTATCTCTATGCTACAGTAGAAAATAAGAAAAAATAACTATTAGCTTTTTGATTTCATTAAATAAGATAAACTGTAAAGTTTAGAAACCCCTTAGCACCAACTGTTTAAATGTTTTACGATTGTTTTTAAACAAAACAGGGTCAACCCCCAAGCTGAAGTTCAAAAGGACAAATATCACGGTACCCAAAGAAAAATATCGTCACAAGAAATACACATGCAAAAAATTTAAAAAAAAATTATACTATGTCTTCAATTAATCTAAGTTTTTTGCAGCCAATTATAGACAGAGAGACAAATAGCTAGAAAGACCCATGGACAGGCCAAATCTCTAATTACGGGGACATAAGAAATACAACATATATAGAATATCCGTATTTTTTAAATATCAAAAATCAAATTATCTAATAGATTGACTTTTGAAATAGTTTCTTATGCAGAGTAGAAGAAAGCACTGCTATTACTTAAGGAATCACTGTCTAGTTTTGAGGGTATGCCAGGGCATCAACAATAGTGGGAAACATGGGATAATTTGCATAACGGGCGAAGCCCGTTATGCTAAAATTATCCCATGTTTCCCACTATTGTTGATGTCCCTGGCATACCCTCAAAACTAGACAGTGATTCCTTATATTTCCATTTTTACTTGAAATAACCATCTTAAAATAAATCGAAATACCGTCTAATTGAGTAGATTTGAAATGCACAAGGCCCCATGACGTCAAATTTTACTATAAAAAATAGTCCCAAAAACACGAAACAAATTTATTGACTATTTATATTTACCGTAGTCAAATATCAACATTTATAAAATAAACAATAAAAGAATTTTAAATGATGATCAAAGTAATCTTGTTGACTTTAATTATATATGTGACCTAGATTTAGGTTGTCGGAAGCACGAACATATATAGGCACTATGTCACTTCTCCGCTGCCATATTGAATGCAATGTTGCAGTTGATGAAACGGGAGCTGGTCAGCATGGTCAGGAAACCGATTTGTATGGATGTTATAATAACAGAAGAAGTTGAGTTGCTTAAGAAGTCGGATGGTAATGACTAAGGGACGATGTCTGTATCAGATGATGGAGTACGTGCAGATCCATGTGGCAATGTCAATTTCTCCACGTGGCTGTTTACCCTGTTTTACGGAAGTGGAGTTCTCGGTCTCGCAAGGCCTCGTTGATAGTGGACAGCTTTGCGCTAGTGACTTGCTTTCGAGCCGAAGATAATTCATTATTTATTTTGTTTGTTAAAAAGATATATCAATCAAATTACTTAGTAAACAATTAAACAAAACATCTATTTTTTCTTGAGTATATTTATACGCCAGTGATATACATGCAGGTTGACACCTGACCTTTCAGTAATAGAGAAATATACATACCACAGGGTATTATCATGAAATTAACAAGATACACTTTTGTAGTGTTTATCATAGAGAAAACAATTGGAAATGGAAATATAATTTAATAAATGTATTTATATGAACTGGTACCATATCAAATTAACCTACAGCCTTTTTTGCAAGGACAAACATGGTCTTTTTGAGGCTTGCTGTACATATTCAGTCATTAGGTTCAGACAAATGTTCGTTGTCAACATTAACTATTCATTGTAGATGGTAAACTGCACGTACATTAGCGGAGAATGCTTAATGATTCGTTAGCTAGTCTGTAAGCTACGAAAATTTCTCTCAAATTATTCATTGAAACACTGATTTGTAAATTTTGGGCATAATAGAGAAGTATATTGTTAGTTTGTTAGTTAAAATACCCCTTCTTGGAATCTTATAGATAATGATATACACTCTAATTGTGCAGCTTAATTGAAGAGTATATGAGTATGATGTGTATGGACTTTGTAGTTTCACGGCATTAAACATTTGTAATGTTCAAATCCGTAACCATTTAAATTTGCTCTGCTCCTATTTTTGTATTGCTAATGGACTTCTGATCTTGAATACTCTTTATTATCTCCATATGTTTCATAAACTTTATTTTAAAAAATATTAACCTGGAGAAGACACTTTATATTCCCAGAATATGATAATCTAGTACGTGTATATATGAAAAGAGATCGAGGTAAATTTACATAAAAGACATATGTCTACGAAATAAAAAAAAAAACTTCCTATTTCCTAAAAAAGAGACATTTTTTGTGTTTTGCAATGATACACAAACTTGAAGGGGTTCAGAAATGATTTTGCATCCGCATTTTTTTTTTTTACTTTAATGTCTCAAATGAAATATTGCAACGAGAATCTATTATTAATGAACAGTCGCCAAACTAAATGTGCAATTAATTTGCGGGGGTTGTATACCTGGTAATTAATTATTAGTTGTTTGGAAATTATTGAGACATTTGTATATTCCTTTTTCAAATGAACGTCTTTCGGTGAAAATTTGCATATTCATTTGACAGACATCAGAATTAATAAGAACAACAAATAATTTACAAATATTCAATTTATTCTTCTCTATGGTATTTAAATGATTCATGATCAATGATGGAGATACCCGACGCAGTCACAAAATTAAATTCTAAAAATGTGTAACATCAACCTTAAAACTACCGGTGGATACAAACCAGAATCAAAAACACTTTAATTCAGGAATTTTTTTTTTCAATTTGATTTTGACTTCATTTGGTGATAGTTTGTTAGAGTTTGTTAGAAATACGGAGATCATACATACAATTAAGCGCGGTATGAAAACTTGTGAGCGACGACAAAACTTGTGTTAACTTCAAGGCTGCGCAGCGAACCTCCAGAAGTGTATAAATTGTTTACAGCTATGGTTTATTTTTTTCCTCTTGTGTACTTTATGGAGTAAAGTAAATTTTTCAATTATTTCTGAACACTCTTTGTATAGTGATTATAGCAGAAGCATAACTCATTTTCCTTTTCTCCTATTAAGTATTCTCTCATCGTCTTAATTCATCTTATCATATATATTTTTCAAACTGACTTGATCTTAACGATGAAGACTGATAGCTAGTACATGTATTTTAATTGTAAATGGTACCAGTTTAACTGTACATTCATCCCTAAGCAGACTTACAATCCCAATTCAAGATATTCTTACAGTAGTGAGAGTACGGACTGGGTCTAATTCTGTATTATTTCCTTGTGTAAATGAAAAAAAAAGATTTCCGAGAAAGAGGAAATATATGGTCTAAAAGGGAAAATTAAAGCAATTTGGGGCAGGAGTTTATTTGAAGTATCTGTATGAAAATAAAAACTGAAATTTATAGAGTAATCGAGCTCATGTCTACATAATTATTTTGCATCTTGCATCTACGATGTCAGATCCCAGCGTTAGTAGATAGATTTACCCATATTAAAATTATATTTTCTTACAAGATTCGTAACTTTCATGTCAACATAATTTACTTGCATGTTGACATAAATATGTGGCATGTTTATATAATCATGTTGCATGCTAACATAACTTATCTTCCATGTAGGGAACAGAAATATGACACCAAACAAAACTAATTGCATAAATGCTCCAATAGTCATTATACAACACGGAAACATATCTTATTCGATGGAATAATCAAGGCATACTTTATTTATAGATCACCGCCATTTTGATTTTTAATCGCACAGAATATAATTTCTTTTAGCTTTTAACTTGAATGGATAAAACCGGAATTTGTAAGGAGTAAGTCTATTCAAAAGAGCATGCTTGCATATTTTTAGCGAATATTATGTTGTAACAATATTATTTTTCTTGATCTAGATCAAAAGATGGTATTGAATGCTGCGTGAATCATTATCTTAAAGGAAACTCTTGTGAAGGTGAGTTTAAAAATACAAAAAATTACAGTTTTTTCATTCTTTCATCATCATTAAAGTCATTATTTAAACTATTATAATTATCCTTTATCCTTTTCCACAGAATGTTCAGTCGGTTGGTTTGGCTGGAATTGTGTGAATTCTTGCCCTTCAGGAAGTTATGGTTGGCTGTGCTCAAATCGCTGTGAATGTCCGGATCAGCTTTGCAATTTTGTCTCGGGTTGTCCAACCGATAACAAGGTCACTCTGACGTTAGATTCAAACTCCTCGACATCTACAAGTGCAAGGAATAACACTAAAGATGTCTTAGAGACGTCTAGCAAAGGCTCTTCTGGTGAATTTAAATTTACCCTTTTTCAGTACAAAAATCCAAATTATTTGATCTGGAGTTTATAATATTTTTCTTGATATTCATTTTTTCTAAATAAAAGGATATTGCATGAATATCCTCATCTCTTTTACAAATTTCAGTCATTATTATTTTCTGTTAAAATATCTTAAGCTTTAAAATGCAAGAATGTGACCCCAATATTTTTATTATGATTCGTAAACGCTATTTATAATTTTTATGTTCAGATTGGTGATTTATATGTTTTAAAAATCAAAGTGGTGCATGCATATCGTTAAAGGTACTTCTTAAACGATTTTATTTAGATCCAGCAGTATTTCGATCGTCTAAGTCACCAGACTTGTCATCGTTATCCTCATCATTTTCATCATTATTACCAACATCATCGTCCACATTGCAGTTAACCTCTACAACTTCCACCGTCTTAAAATCAACTGTGACAATGAGAAAGATATCTAACTCTGAAAATGGGACTACAGATATCGCCGTAATACTTGTACCCATCGGAATCGCTATTGTATTCCTACTTATCACCATTATACTTATGATCGCTTGGAAACTAAATCTTGTACAACGTCACAATCAGGTTTTGACGTCAGAAGTGATAACGTTGAAGAATGTAACTCAGTCAAGCGAGGAAACTGCAGACTATCAAGAAATTAACCTTGGACCGAGACCAGAAAGATCATCTGAACAATTCAAAGTGAAAGGGGATCAGCAACATTATCATACAATTTTAGAGCAACATCTTTCTCAGTCATCTCCCTCTAAATATCAAGAAATTAATAGAATTGAAGAGGAAAAAATATCAGAACATTTTTCAACAGAAAATGAGCAAAATTCTTCTTCGGCGTATCTTATATCTACATCTACAAAACCTGCGCATGCGTATATTGATGTTATAGAAACCTCACAGGAGGATATTGAGGCGAAGTCCAAAGCGTCTTTACTCACAGAGGAATATGATGACACTCTGTGCCATACCGACAACGAATTCAAATCGGCTGAAAATATGTATCTTGATGCCATATACATATAAGCTGCCATGAATTTATAAAATGCAAATAAATTTTTTAAAAAGTTTTGTTGTACGTTATTGTTGGGATAGTTAAGTATTAATTTCATATGATGCATGGAACCTTCCTAGCTTTAAAGTTCCTGGCCTCAAGCCCACAGACTGAGAGCAGACAATTCAAAGTTTTGTTTAAGAATAACTTGAGATCTATTCTATACACTTAGGTGCATAAAAATCGCACGATTTTAAAATAAACAAATCTAAACACGTATTGACAGTTTTTCAACATTATCAAAATTATTTGTAAAGCTTAAAAGATTTAAAATTTTGCCTGAAGTGTTTTTCTCGATCAATTGTTTTAGAATATGTACTCAGTATAGCCAGCATTTGAAGAATCAATTTCAAGTGGACACTCAGGTTTAAGTTAGACATTTTAAGATATATAGATAGTCATCATCTTTTATCAATAATTATTGAAAAAAGAGTTTTAAATATATACTTGTTGTTATCAAGCATATTATCTGTTGTGGATGCAATAATTTTGCAATACTTTTACCTCACTTTTAGAAAACTTTCAAAATTTAAGCACATTCAAATAGTTTTTCCGGCTCAAAGAAATAATACTTTCCTAAACAATTTTATTTTTGCAGCTTTCTGAAAATGGTTTAAAAAACAATGCACTGCATAAATCTCAAATTTAATTATTAATGCTTTTCAACTTAATTACAGTGTTACTAATAAGGCATTTCCTGTCAAAATCAAGAATTTTTAAAACTATATGTAATTTTTTTGTTTGTTGAACAAAAGTTTCATAGTTAGAATTATATGCATGTAATTTGTTTATTGTTTGAAACCTTCAATGGAGACTGGAAGATGTAACAGGTACATGTACATGTTCATTCTTTTTATAGTTATGAGAAGTAAAAATAATTGTAACAGTGTTTCAGTTGACAGTAATTAAAGGAATGCTCTAAAGCACAATGATTTAATGGTAAACAACAATAATAGTATAAACTTTTTATGTTTTATTATTTAAAAAAATCGTCTGAACAATTATAGAATTAGAGATAATATAGGAATAGAAATTTTGGGGGTATCTCTATTTTTCATTTTTGGTAATATTATTCTTAAAGTTAAGATTAGATGTGTTATAACAACATTGTGAAAATAAGAAGTGTTAAAGCAAATATTAAAAAAATACTTCTTTATTTATTATTATGATGCCGTAGTCGATGTTTTTACTCCAGAAAACCAAAAATAAGTATGAGATTAAAAAAAAAATAACATAAGAGGTTCACAATAAGCATTATGTAATAAGGAATTCGTGAAAGTATCATCAACAATAATTCTTTGATATAGGTGAAGTTGCATATAAAAGAGGGTACCCATCAATATCATATAAAGAATTACAGCATCCATGTTTGCTACGGGAAACCAAAAATATGTGTCGGATCAAAGAGTCAAATATGTGGTCACAATAGCACTATGTAACGAAGATTTCGTGAAACATTCTTTAAATTTTATTCACTGGTATAAGAAAAGTTGCCCATAAAAAATGGGTACCCCAAACAGATGGACGCACATGTATGTACACTTAGACAGACAGATGGACGGACATCCCAATCACTGTATACCCTCCCAATTTTCAAGAGGGAATATGAAAATAATTGAGATATGGCAAACAGTTATCAATCTTAGGAAACATATGTGCAGGGAACAGGGTCCATGCAGGAGTAAGCATCCACTACCGACGGTTACACCCTATGTATGCCCCTAATCATGATCAGAAAAACGGAAAAATACGTAGGCATTTCAAAATGTAAACTAGAGATACTGTGAGCACTGAGATTAATAAAAGATACCCCAACCCTTATATTTTTACAATGGCAAAGACCATGTTTTTTTTATCTGGGAAACCAAAATATGTTTCAGATGGAAAATGAAATAGGAATAATACAGTGACATTATGTAAACTTTGCTCATTTAAATGCTATAAAATATTTTTTATTAAAGCCCTCAAGACATCATTGTTGTATGCTGCACAAACTTTTACCAGACGAACAATGCTTGTAGACGTAAGTAATCTAAGGAATAAGAGTCTATTGCTCGAAATACATTTGAAGAGGTTTATAAGAGATACACGTATTACGAGCTCATGGCAATAATCATTTTCATATGCACAAAAATGTACGCGTTATCTAAAAAAATTGAAACATTAAGTAGAATGATCTCTTTCAAATCGATTTATAAAAATGTCGTTCTTTAATCCTACTAAGTCTGCATTTGAATATACGTGTGTAATATCTTTTGATTTGAAAAAAAATATTTCTGAATATGGATATCGTAAGGATTTTGATACTGTCATGCTTTGACCTACCAATCTTGACGCAGACAACAAGCAGTTTATCCTTAAGCTAAGTGTACCTTCTATTTCCTTATTCTTTTATAGCTTGTCCTCCGGGTTCATATGGAAGAAACTGTTCGCTCACGTGTCCACCAGGCTGGTTTGGGAGTGAATGTAAATACTCGTGTGATTGCCAGCTTTCTGATTGTTACCCAACATATGGTTGTGTGACGACAACTACCTCTAAAGCATCATCATTTCCGTCAACATTTAATTTAAGAGATGCATCTCAAGGTGGGGATATAGAAATGAAGAATAAAAGTAGTTTTAAGTATCTAAATCAAATTATTTCATTTATATTACAATAATGAGATTGATTTCAGATAAAACGACGGTTTCTTTCCTAGAAGTCAGTGGTTCATCTTATCTAAGAAGTGTAACAACATCAATTCTTTATAAAAATCCAGGTCTCAGGGTATCTCAGCCGAATTACTCTGCTGTTATTGTCACCGTGTCTGTTGTGGTTGTATTACTTATAACAATTGTGTTTGCCATTCTTTTTCGGAAAATCATCATGCTACAAAACAGAAATAACATGATATCGCAAGAGGTTGTTGCATTAAAAATGACATCAGTAAATGATAACAATGTGTACGATCAGTTTAGGGAAGATATATCAGCATCAAATGTCTACAATGTAATTGACGAAAATAAAACTTCGCAAAACAATATTGACAATTATTTGGAACTTAAAAGACACTCAGGGACCAATTGTCATCGCTCTATGCAGGTTTCACCTCCAGAAATACAATCTGCGATAGACGATGAATCAGAATACTTGGATCCAGTTTCAGATGCTGGAGTAAGCAATGCATATATTGACGTTATTGCTTAGGTTGTCTGTTCAGCAATATAATAGGTATAGCTTGGTTGTTTTATACCGGACATCTATGTCGTGGAGTGATCAATTTCGGTCAATGACAATTTTATGACTTTACTGAATAAATAACATTTTAACAAGATTACATAAATATGTCTTTTATTATATCTTTATTTTTGTCTCGCTGCTATGGAGATAATTCATTGCACAACTTTCAATAATTTGCAAAGAAGCCTGAGTTTAATTTCACTATTTTGAAATGTGTTTCTTTACCTCGGAGATTACCATTTAATGTGTTTCGCAGAAAACGTTTAAATTTTTTCTCTATTTTTGTCTTTTAGAACCTTTATATTTATTGCTAAGCCATGAATACAATTTTCAAAAGGCCCTTGATTTTGGTTCTAAATGAAAAAGTTATTTTCTTTTATGCGATAAACATAAAACAACTATATAATTCTGGCTTCTGCTTCTTATTTGGCCTTGAAAACTGCAAAAATCATAAAAATGCTGAATCACCAAAAAGTGCATAAAAACAACAAAAACACAAGATGTGTTTGCTTTTTTGTGAAGCACTATGCGCCCGGCGGCAACAAAATTCGAAAAGGCTATTTTTAGCATAGAGGTAACAGGATGATATGGTGATAACGAACAGTATTCAATATCAAAGTCCATAAAACAATACAAAATTATTATTAATAGGAGCAGAGCAAACGCGGATCTCCGAAACATCAGAGTTGGAATCAGGTGCCATGGAGGCGTGAGCTCCTTGTCATGAACAGGAAATAATGGAAAAATCCGTCGTCAATTCATTGTATAAAGAATGGACTTACAATTAGTATGAAAAGCGTCAGTCAGCGGTTGAGTCCATAATAAATTGTATTTGCTGACAAGGTCATTTTATCGACCATAGAACTTACGAAATGATGACTTTAAAACGAAACTGCTGATATAATAAAGTTTACGGGGTCATTGACCTTTGTGTCATTTGAAAGAACATAATAAGTAAAGTACATGTATGCATACAAAATTCACTCTCTTTTACTATCTCTTATGATTCAAAAGTTATGGCGAAATTTCAAAAAGGCTATTTTTTATAAATATGTTTCATTCAAGGTCACAAGGTAACCGGTATTTAAAGGTGTATGCATACCAAGTAGGAAGTCTCTATCTCCTATGGTTCAAAAGTTATGACAAATGTCCGAAAAAGACTTTTTTAGCATATAGGTCACAGTCAATGTCAAACGGTCATTGACATTCTGTCATTGGAAAGAACATAATTAGTGAAGTATGCATACCAAACATGAAGTCTCTATCTCTTAAGGTTCAAAACGAAGTTATGACGAAGGTTAAAGTTGACAAGAAACCGACAGACAAACAGATAGACAGACAGGACAAAAAGAATATACGTCCATCTATCGACCTGGGTGCACAAAAATGTAAAGCATATTTATTCTAAAACGTCTAATACAAATCGACTTTTGATCTTAATTCGATATTTTTTGCATTATTTCTTCAAATTCTTTCTTATATCGGTAATGAGAATATTCATTTTTGTATTTAAATCTTAAAGATAAGAAAAATTTTCACCATCAAAATGACTGGTTGATGAGGAAAATTCTTCTCAAGAATTACCATAATCCAAACATTTTTCATTTTTCAGACATTGTTAATTGTGCAAGAGAAATCTTTTAGTGGACATAAAATCAAATACCTCAGACAACAACCATGGATGAAACTTTGTCTGATGTTTAAATGGACTGTCATGATTGCAAAAATAAAAAAAGTATACAGTTAATCTGAAAAATGTACATATTTGTTCTAGAAATAACCATGTGAATATTACGATTTCTGTTTCCTTCATGTCCCTTTAATCCTTTGGTGTTTTTATGTAATTGTACGGACTTGCACAGACTGGTCTTACTTTATTAAAATTACATCATAATTTGAATTAAAGGAAATGTACAATTCAATAATAATTATAAGATCAAACATTCATCAATTTTGTACCAGACAAAACATATATCACGTGCTTACATATTATTAAACGCACACTACATTTTAAAATTAAGTTAAGTGATCAAATTGGAATTTAGAAATAAGCATTGCGATCACTGATATATACTGTATGACCTTTTAGCTCGTGTTGATGTCACTGAGTTGAATTTTTTAACATTCTTTTCGTTTTACTGGTTTTTCGATTAATTTTAGAAAAGAGATATATATATTCTTTTAAATGAGCAAAGAATTACCTATATGTATAAAGCATTAAATTACCGATATCCATCAAAATTACGAATATTGTTGCAAAATAATATTAAATGAAGCGAACATCACTACGTCTATTAACCTTTTTTGCAGCATTAGTCATTCATAACGTTAGTGTCATTGAATATGAATCTTTTTCTGAACGACACTTTTATTATTTAAAACTAGGCATATTAGTCAATTTTCGTAATCTCTTTTCTTAACTATCATTACCTTAGAATTCTATTTATCAAGTAATTTTGCTTAAAAAGACAGAAATGCTTTGATTAAAAATTAAAAGACCCCCCTTTTTTACTTTCTTTATTAGAAGCCCTATTGGTGTGAACATTTAACTCAAGAAATAGATTTAGATGGGATACTAAGTAATTGAGTAGGGTAAAGGAGTGGGTGTTGCAACAACTATTGAAAAAAACAGCTGTAGAATTAGTTATTTCCATGGTGGTTAAAAGTGCATTTCAAAACAATGCATAAGTTGTAACCACTATTGAAATAATGTTCACTACTGACATAACTATTTTAATAAAGGTTTTGAATTTATTTTAAAACCTAAACCAGGTTGCAACCAATTTTAAAATATAACCACTATTGAAATAAAAATTTCAATAGAGATTTAAATGAAAATTTCAATAGGGATTGAAATGAAAATTTCAATAGTAATGAAGAAATGGGTAAATGCAGAAGACAAGCCTTTCTAAGAACTTTTATAATGAGTCGTGGATGATATAGGGCCCTAAGAGTTCCCGAGTCTAGGACTTCATTTTTATAAGAGACATTTTATATTTTATTTTAAAGATGAACTTTTTATAAGTAAAAAGAAATCTTGAGTCAAACACACACATGACTGGTAATCACACGTCATAAAGAGCCTAAACAAAAATTATTATGCTCACAATTATATATTTACAAATCATATTTTTCTCCGCCTACTTAAACTTCCTTTATAATTAAATTTAATTGCGCTTTCTACAGTACTACAAATAAAATACCATTTTTTTTTTCTGAAAATGAGATGTACAGATGTCAGCAAAAGGTCATCTGGAGTTTAAAAGATCTTATTTATATTAGACGACATTATTTAAACCGATTAAAATTATCTAGTGATTAGATTGAATTTATGAGTAGATTTTCCTGAACGGATACTGAGAAATAATCAAATGAAAAAAGTAATATTTATCATTACAACCCACTAGTTTACAAATTGTTAAAAGTCGTTATTCGTCATACAAGAGACAGTAATGGACCAAGGAAGATGCATCAGGTATGAAAAAACAAGAACTTATTTCTAAAAACACCCCTTTTCCTTTTAATGATATTTAAAAATCATTGTTTTAAGAAGTAACCTAAAGGAATTATTAAACACTTTTAATTTTGCTATTCATTGCAGTTCCTCAAACGGCGAGTTCGAATGTTGCTCTAATTTCTATCTGGATTCAGACATTTGTAAACGTACGTATCATTTTATATCTTTTTATCAAATAAATTACAAGTTTTTATCTTCTATATATTATGTTTCTTGTATCTTAAATTTCATTTCTAAGTGAAAATATAAAAACTTAAGATAAACATACACTAGGGAGCTGTGTGTATTTTAGCTTGTCCCCCTGGTACCTATGGCGTTAACTGCTCCTTCAGCTGTCCCCGTCTGATGTATGGCGATGGCTGTGGATACATATGTAACTGTTCTCCAGATCGATGTGATGCTGTCTATGGCTGTGGTATGACGACAACATCAACAGACTCATACAAACCAACATCAACTGGTATAACCATAGGTATAGCCTTTTTATCCCAATAAATATAATGGATTGATTTTTTTTGGGGGGGGGGTTAAACTGTAGATCTTTTTTTCTAACTTTAACTTTTTGCTGAAATTTTTAGAAAGACCGGTGACAGTTTCTACTCAATCATTTCTCACACAACGTGTTGAGATAACCGAATCACCCTCCTCGACAATCTCCACCCTAAGGGACACCGCTGTCAATATCAGAGATGAGACTGAGCCGTTCCCGTACAGGGCAATCATCATAGGAATGGGTGTCGTGCTATCTTTCTTTTTGGTATTTACATTCATACAACTATGTTCTAAAATGCGGTCAAAGCGAAAGAGAATCAAATCGTCTGAAGAAAGCGGAATCTACCACGAAATTCCTGCAGCAGATGAGAGAGTACCACAGGAAATTACCGAACATTACAACCAAGTAACTGAACAAGGAAATATCAGCTCCATTAAAAAACAAGAAAATATGACAATACAAAAGACGCCAAACAGCGTCGGACCATATAGACCACCCCTCTATGATGATATTAAGCAAGAAGAGTTTAACCCATCAATGTATGAAAAATATTTGCATGATATGTATTTAACAGTTGAAGAAGCAAAGAAAGACGAAACAGATTTAAGTTCCGATTCAGAAATCAGAGAATCATACCTAGAGCCGATATCAAAACAAGAAACGCACTTTTATACACATGTGATGGGGATTTCAAATGATACAACATCTAGTGCAAATACAGAACGGGACAAGGATACTTCAATGCATTCAGATTGTGAAGATAATGATGCATCGGTCAAAAATGCAAGTCCAAAGGATAATTTGGAACAACAGGAACTTTACTTACAAGTTATTCAAATATGACTCTCTACCTTTTTGTTTGCTTTTATATGATTTTCATCATACAAATCAAATTTCCTTCAATTGATTGTACATATATCATTATATTAACATCAAATGCTTCCGACATGTTACGCTTGTAACACGACTTAGAAAACTATATATAAATGTGATGCAATCACTTCAAATAGTAGAATTATAATGAACTTCTTCCATGTAAATAAGAATTAAAATTACCAATTTTATTTTTTGGTTCTTACAACATTCATTTCCTTCTGTTAATGAATTGTCTGTTACTGTTTTAAATACCTCGCTGACTGTTCATAAAAACAAAAATATATTTATATTATTCATAAATCAGAATGAGATTACATAATTGCATGTTTAGGTCAAATTCGAAGATGGTTTTAGATATACTTTATTTCCTCTGTGATTATCCCAGAAACCCTTAAAATACAAAAATCATCTTCAACATTTACTATAATTAGACAGCACACTTTGTAGGAGAGGAAGTGGACAACATCAATAGGAAAGGCCTCTAGAAAACAAGCATTTTATTATCAAAACAAGAGAATGCTCTATTATAATCAAAATAGACAACACATATTGCATGTTTCCGCCACTTTCGTAGACAACGGAAGTGTTGATATAGGTTGAATAATGAGAATTGCTTACAAAAAACATACCGGTATTTTGGCACAAAATTCTGACTCAAAGCCTGGCTTTAATAGCTTTTCTGAAAAGTTTGTCATTCTCAAATTTTCCGTTGATTCAAATATGTGGAGTGGACATAAACAAACTATATTACTTCAATATCAACGTAATTTAAGACTTTGTATTGCATGGATAAGAGAATGTTTCAAATAATCACTAAGGAACCTTGAGATGAAAGATACGATACTAATTTAGGAGATCAAAAAACTTCTTAAAGACAACTTTGAAGACTTTTTTTTCTATTGTGAACATTCCTTCCTTACATACTTATACCATAAGCATCTACAGATAGATTTAATATCTTTCATTTGATTTAATAGAACATTAAAAATTACGAACAATTACAATTTCTAAGATAAAACAAGCATTCTGTAAATTCTTTAGTTGACAAATTAATACAATAAAATACACAGAAGACTTAATTATAGATTTATTTGCTAACAAGATTATTGTATCGACCTTAAAACTTGCGAAATAATGACTTTAAACAAGACTGCTGATATTTTTTGTTTATTCAATTATGTCAATAACTTAACCGTATTGGACATTGTCCCTAGGTAGAACATACTCTTGCATATAGAATCAACTGAGAGAGATAAACCCCGAAAGAAGATGATATGGGTATATTGCTAAATGCATAATAAAAGTTGATGATTGAAAAGTTTAAGTTATCATAAATTATGCTTTGTTGTTAGGTTACCATTAACATTTATATAATTGAGCCGAATCTTCATTAATATTTTTATCAATACAAAGTGTAACTCTGCTATTTCACACTGAATTCTCTTCATGACAAGCACCGCATGGTGGAAGTGACCCATCATAGAAGAATGCTTACTTCTACGTGACAACTCGTCCCAAGACCATAGACTGAGAACAAATCCAAGTCAGAATTTCAAATAAATATAACTTTTGATATAATTTTGATAATGAAAAAAAATTTCATCACTTGTTAAAATTACATTATTTCACAAACTGCAAAATTTTAAAGACCTTATATTAAATAAAATGCGAGATATTCAAAATCAATTTTTTTTACTTAAATCTGTTCTCGGTTTATTGTCTTGATGCCTGATCTCACCTCTGGCCTGGGGCCATAAAACTTAGACGAGCTCACTTTTGATCTCAGTCTCACTTTTTCCAAAGGAATACATAGTGGAAAACTGAGACTGAGATCAAAAGTGGGCTCGTCTAAGTTTTATGGTCCCCAGGCCAGATGTTTAAGAGGTTCCTCTTTGTCCTGCTCCATATCTGTATAATTTGAATTAAGTTTTAAGCTTACTTGCTGTTCATTATTTATATATTTCATGAATAAAATAAAACCTATATGTAGCACTGTAGAAATTTCATGTATTGTATTATTCTAATAATAGAGCCGCCAAAATATAGCTGAAATATTGCCGACTAGGCGTAAAACAGCAAAAATCAATCAATATAATAATAGATCGTAGTACGGAATTAAATTACGTTATGAGCGACTAAAAGAAGGAAATTTTCAAAACAAGTGCATTTTGTTATAGGTTTTATCATTAATTTCCTTGACTTTCCTCAAACTGGTTGGTAAGAAAATTGAACTCTGTATAAACAATCGTGCAATATTAAGCCTATACCTCTAACGATTCTTTTAGTATGCTCAGCTTTAGTTTTCTTTCTCTGTCGCTCAGAGGAGGAACTAGCGTCATCAGTATAATACAGTATTTCTGTTTATCAGGGTGGAGATTCTTTTGTGTAAGTTTGAATACTGGGTTAAACATCAGCACCAAAAGTTTTAACCAACAGCAGTTAATGCAACGAAAGGTTGATTTCAATTCGTAAGTAGTAACAATTGGGTACCTAAAATATATTGTCTCACTTCAACTTTTTTTTTAAATAAAAAAATAATATTCAAATTGATACACGGCACGGAAAATTAAATGGTTGTCTTCACATTATGATCTGGCGGCTCCAAATCATTTTTGGCTTCCGCGAGAATTATATTATTAAACTTTACCAAAAGGTTACCCCAACTCGCTTCAAATTTTTAAAAATTATTTTGAATGTGCACTGCTTGTGCTCAAACTAAATTTATTCTTTTTTTTTTCCATTCTCTTCGCTTTTAAAAAAGGTTTGGGAAAGGTACAAGTAACACTACTTTCGGTCCTAAACTTTTCATTTTAAATATTTTATCAATTTTAACTATACACCCCCCCCCGTGGGAGGATATATAGTAATCGTGGTGTCGTCTGTCCGTCTGTTACGCTTTGAGGTACCAATCTCTTATCTACAACTAATATCACACCACTGAATGAAATTTGATGAGACTTTCACAAAATCTTTTTTGCATATTGCCATTGTGTCCTCCTATTTTAACTTTTGGGTTTTCCATAGAAAAACATTAACACAGCCATTATATTCATATGGGAGCCGCGGGGGGGGGGGGGGGGGGGGGGGGCTAAATGCATATGATAATATACTTTAGTAAAGAAATACCGTTTTCAAATTGCCAGTTACAAAGTTGAAAACAGCAAATGATGATAAATGAAAAGCGTTGAAGACAACAAACTGTGATCGATCTTATAAAAACACAAACCATATAAACAAGGTATGAACGCAGACTAATAAAAAAATTCTAAAACGGGGTCAGGTACCTAAGAGAAGTAAACACCCTTTCTTGCCCGTCATTGTCGAAACATTCCGTAGTCAAACTTAGTACAAAAGCAAACACCTTTCAGTTGGGAAGAAATAATTGAGTCAAATTCGATCCAGTGATAGGTTATTTCTGCTAATGAGGTCATCATGACGACCATAGAACTTATTAAAGCTGACTTTAAACGAGGTTGATGAACCCCTGCATCATCAACCGATGTGTAAGTAACCTGCTTCGGCTTAAAATTTATACTTTAAATTTATCAATTTAAAGTTTATACTTATAAATTAAAAATTTACACTTAATTTGTATAAATTTATAAAGTATAATATGTTAAATCAAAAATTGTTCTAAATGGATAAAATGACCCAAGTACATGTATTAACTCAATATCAATTTAAAAATTTAATATTTTATTATAAGAAGAAAATAAACAGGAACAAAAATCAATCTATGCTTATGCAGGGGAAATTAGGAATATTTTTTTTATTTTCCATTTTTGTCAAAATTTACTATTTCTTGCCATATTAATTACATATAAAGGTTCCTTGTATTTTTAAGCATCATTTTGCAAATATTATATGTGTTAAAGGTAATAAATTATTTCAAATACATGTAATTGAATGTTATGAAATAAAGAAATTTAAAAAAATTGAACAAAAACCATTCCAGACAACATAATTATCTAAATAATTTGACCATTGACCCTATATAATATTAATGCCATGAGAAATAAGGCAACAAAAGTAACCCGAGGTTATAAATATTTTAAAGTTTTTATCATTCAGATTTTTTAAATATTCGATTAAAAATGGGGAAAAAATATTAATATGACAGAAGAAATTCGGACTGTAATAATTATTAAGTTTATGACCCAAACTCTGATTGTTATTTTATATGAAGCAACGCTGTTCCGTTGCTATGATATTTTATTATTGAAAGAGTTGTGTTGCTTGTAATATTTTGTGAGTAAAGAAAAAAAAAGGTCATAGTGTGAAAATTTGAGGTATTTTCCGAGAAAAACTCAGGGGCCACTAGCATGAAAAGTAGGTCATTGACCTAGTTATTTGAAATAAAAATTTAACACAAGAATCATAGATGTGCAATGTGCAATAGGTGGTTTTTCGTTCTTATCAGTGGAATTTTTAGTCATCTGAGTCAAGGTTTACCTTAAATACCGGTAGTCAATAAGATAGACATAAACACCATATGGCAATGATCATACTATAAAAATAAGGAAAATGGGCGATTGAAAAGCTGTTGGACTTTTATTTTCTAAAAATAATTATAAGCATTAATCAATAAAAAGTCGTATATCAGAATGTACACTGTAAAAATTGTGTTTAGGATTTAAACACTTCCATGACGTGTTTAGATCTAAACATGTATAGAAATATGTTTAACAACTAAACACTTATGTCTAAACATGTTTTATATCTAAACGTGTTTAGAAATTAAACACCTTCTGCTGTAAAATGCAGAGTTATCTTCCCGGAAATGACACAAATACTCGTATATTTGAACGTTAATTTGAGCGGCCATCGAAACAAAGTGAATCACAAAAGGCTTATAAGGGACGTATCAAGGAGAGATACTGACAACCCAACGGATAACCATGAAGAATTATTGAAAATCATTTGAAAGGCATCTTTTTACTGCAATATATTAAAGGTATGTTTTCTTTTTATTAAAATTTGCATTATTAAACCACGATGAGCAATGTAAACAGTGCCTTTGAGGTCG